GTGTTGTTCAGCATGGGGGTGAGTAGAAAATGAAGGCTAATCATGTTTTGGGTGTACTATTCCTTTAATGACAATAGGTGGTATTGAAATGGTTTGTTAAATAACTTTAAAAACTGGTGCTAAATAATTTAACAAACTAACACGTTTTATCAAACTCCTGGTTTGCAGAACCAGTAGGAAGCACCTTTGTTTGGTAAGCCAGCCAGGTCAGACGGTCCGACAGCAGGACACAGAATCCTGCCCAGCGCTGGTTGAGCTGATCTGCAGCCTGTGCGATGTCGTCTGCACGGCTCCCCTCTGCAGACAATTGAAAAGAATAAGAGTGTTAGCCGACAACAGCAACAATTTGATCAAAAAGAGTCATTTGTAAAAAAGTAATTCCACCAAAGACAAACTCCAGTGGTTCTATTAAGTGTTGGCAATAAGAATGGAGGATCAAGAGTGTCACAAAAAACAAATATTCAAAATTAGGCATTAATGAATCCCCAGAACTAGAACCAAACATGGAGAAGCAGTATTTAGTTCCTATGCTCAAATCATATAGAATGTACTACCAACAAGTTTTGATGTCCTGCAAAAGCATATCAAAGAGAAAGTTTTTGGGATCTGTCTCCAAACACTCAAACAAAACGGTTTATTAAATGCCGCTTTAACATATTTTAAGAGATGTTTAAATTCTATTTTTGTTCTGTTTGTTTTAGATGTGTTTGTTGGTGAGGAAAATAGCTGGGGGAAGACCTCTAAAAGTGTTCAGTTTTGTCTGGCAGAAGGTAGGAATGAGAGACGGGTACAAATTGAGCTTCCCTGCTTTCAGGGATGCCAACAATTACACAAGGACAGAGGTGAGGACACAAAAAAAGACATCTCTGTCCTCTCTCTCTCTCTGCGTGCTTCTCCATCGGTGTTTCTATGGAGACAAGCAGAGAGGGTGGGACAGGTGGAGGCGTTGCCATGGGGACAGACAGGGTGTGCATGCCAGTGTGTGAGAGTGCGAGTACCCTGCTCGACGAGCGTCTGCGCCGTGCGCGTCGCCTCCTGTAGCTTTCTGTACTTCTCTGGCCGCTCTCTGTCTATGGCCTGTGGGAAAGGGGGAAGCAGAAAAATAGAGAAGCTGAACAACGGAGCAGCATGGAGAAGCTCACTGACAGAGAGATCGACAGGTTAACCTCAGAGCAGCTTCTGTAATTAGTGACTCAAATGATCTCTTCAACTCTTTGACGTTTTTGCCGTTACGTCACAAACGTCAGTGTTTGGTCTGGAAAAGAAAGTAGAGAAGAATCGCTCTTTTTTTTCTCTCTACATTCAACAGCAGTGTTGTAGTCAGGACGAGCACCAAACACTTCATGTCACAAAGTGTGGAACATGAAGAAAGGTATTTCTCACATAAATCTGAAAGATCCACATTTCTACAAAAAAACCAACATCTCAAGCACACACAGCTGAAGTAAAGGTAACTGTTTTTAATACTCTTACATCCTATTTAATAAAATATTTCCTTAAACTGAAAATAAAAAGTATATTTGAAATAATTATTGTTGCTACTTAGTACAATCTAAAGGTCTGCTGTAGATAATATACATTGTGACTGATTTTCATGTATCAAGAATGACTAAATATATATATATATATATATATATTTTATTTTTTCCCCCCAGCTTTTTTTACTGTCATTAAACACAGTCACAAGTACAAAGTTGTGCCGTATGCCATGATCATGGTTTTTGGACATTGGGAACCAGTGTCCATATTTTATCTTGACATGATGACCAGAGAAGGAAACAAAACAGACCTTTTGCAACATATTTCTCTTGAGTTTCAGAACTTATAGAGCCAGACTGGATGAGACTCCTGCCTTGCTGTGAACCACTGAGAAAAAGAAACCCCTGGTTGCTGTTGGCCTGACTGCTGAGCTGCAGCTGGATGAAACACAAGCCTTCCAAATGGACATGAACAAAAGGGTTTGCAGGTCTGGCATGATTAGGGACAGAACAAACTATATGTCATTTGATGATTTTGATCATTTCAGGATGGACTGTATGCTATGCTATAGCAACATGTTTTGAGCTGTTGTTGAAGCTTAGACAAGCTTTATTTCACTAAAGGGTCTAAACACTGATATAACATTAGTGTTCATGTGTTCCTCAGATGCTCATTACATTTCCATTACCAAGTCTGACCAAGAGTCATTTAGTGGAATCCTGATGTCTATTCGCTGCTAGCTATTTCAAAGAGGGTAAAGAATCTTTCATTTAATCATTGAACAAAAGGTTATTGGTTCCTGATTATAAAAAACATTTTTTACCCCCCCCCCCTACCGGGGAGGGCAATAAACATCTTGAAATA